GGTGATAGGGAAGGGAAAGAGAAATGGGATCCATTTACAGTCGCTGCTTTGTCCATGCTCATCCACTGCCAGGCGTTGGGTGGGGCTTGGGAGAGGTAGGGTGAGCTTGGTGCCAGAGGGCCCTGTAATAAACCGGGAAGCATGGGGTACACTGGGCAGGTAGCACTCAGCGGAAGGCCTCCCAGAGAAGTGGCAAATACACGGTACTCAAGAAAGGTGAGTGGGCAAGTATCAAGTTCAGGGAGAAAGGGAGGAGGAGGGGATGGACAGCGAGCTCTAGGCTAAAGGAGGGACCATGACGGTGGTTCAAGTGCAACAAGAAGTCCTGCTGGCCAAGGAGGGAGAGGCAAATGGGGCCACGGTGGACCCTAAGCCAGGCAGGGAGTTTGGCTATACCCCTTGAATGTCTCAGCCAGGCACACCTGGCTGTTTGCTGCCAGCCCATGAGCATGTGGCCCAGCCCACCACCATCCCCTATTCTCCCAGGAAGGCTGGCATGACAGCTAGGGACCAGTTGGTGAGCGGCTTCCTCCCCTACTCCGCAGGGACCCTGGAAGCCTCCCTGCCCCCAACTCTGTCAGTGGAACAATCACCAACTGGATTGAGAGAGGCTGGGTGTGCTCCCCCTTCCTCGGAGGGTTAACTAATCTCTAATCACCGCAATCTCCTGATCCCCAATCCCTGAGCTCCCTATGAGTGTGGCCAGATGGTTTGGGAGGGAGTCCCAGGAGCCCCCAGCCCAGCTTAGAGCAGGGGAGACAGTCTCACCAGCCTTTCCCACCCCGTATGGAAGCCACATCTCCCACGCCAACAGGTGGCCATCCAGGCTGTACTTGGATACTTGCAAGGATGGGCAGCTCAGCCCTACAGAGGGAAGGGCTGTGTTCATGGGCAGACTGTGAACTCTGGGAGTTGGCATCCTGTGGCCTGGGTCACACTGAAATCACAGCCAGCCCCCACCAAAAGACTCTTTAACTCCACAAGAATGAAATCAGACCTGCGCCTTGCTAACAGGGGAGCTCCTGCACCTGTCCATGGAGGGTATGTCAGGGTCTCCACTTCCAGGAGGTTTATCTTCCCCACCAGTGACTTAGGCTCTGGACTGTCCCCTCCCCAGGATAACTGCCAGGCAGGTGTGAAGGAGCACCCGAAAGGTGGCTGGTGTGAGGGGGAACTGAATATTTTATTTGATTTAATGAATTTAAATTGAACCTTAAGATCTGAAACAGAGTGTAATTTTTTTTATATCGTTACATACTAAAATGATAGTATTTTGGATATATTGGGTAAAAACAAAGCATTACAAAAATTCATTTATTTCACAGAAATGAATTTAATTTTTTTACATTTTAATTTTTAAAAAATCTATATATTTTTATTTGAAAGGCAGAGTTGCAGAGAAAGAAGGAGAATCTTCATCTGCTGGTTTACTCCCCAAATGGCTATTATGGCCAGAGCTGCACCAGTCTGAAGCCAGGAGCCAGGAGCTTCTTTTGGACCTCTATTGTGAATCCATGGACCTATACTCCTAGGTTATCCTCTGCTGCTTTCCCAGGTCATCAGCAGGGAGCTGGATCAGAAGTGGAACAACCAGGACTTGGAATCCTGGCACCACAGACAGAGAATTAGCCTCCTATGCCACTGTGCTGGTCCCATGACCCTGGCAAATGTGAAATGACAAATGCAATTATGCTTTTGTGGGACGCTCTGTCTTATAAGGTCATTTCAAGATCAAATGAGGAGAACATTGGGGTGTTTGGGAAACAGGGAACTCTAGGGAGAGTGTGGCTTCTGGGACTACTGGGAGCTCTACCCTCCAGGATTATATTTCCATCACATTCTGGAAAAAAACAAAAAACAAAAACAAACCAGGAGTGAGCATTGTGGCGCAGCAGGACCACATGGACCTTCTCAGATGGACCTATCCCTTAGGGGAGCACCAGTGTTGGGAGTCCCGGTTGCTCCACTTCCCATCTGGCTTCCCATTGACAGCCTGGGAAGGCAGTGGACCATGGTCTCAGTACCTGGACACCTGAACCCACTTGGGAGACCTGAATGATGGAGTTCCTGGCTCGTGACTTTGGCTTGGTCCCACCCCTGATGCTGAAGATACTTGGGAAATGAACTAATGGTTGAAGATTTTCTTTCCCTCTTTCTCTCTAGAGCTCTGTGGCAAATAGTCAAATAAAATCAAACATACGGAGTAGGAAATAATTTCTAATGAAAATTACCCATAACCTCAGCACCCAGCTTCTTCTAGAGCTTTTTCTCTGTATGTGGCCATGTGGCCAGGACTCTTACCACCACCACCTTCCCAGCTTGGAAGTCCTCAGGAAGGCACTAAAGGCCCCAGCCTCGAGAGGGGACCTCCAAGGAGGAACCCCCAAAGGCTAAACAATGCAACCATAAGCCTCTCCTCGGTACCAAGTTCTGGGGGCACCACTATTCCTGGGCTGTCCCCCTCCCTGCCCACACCTCTTGTGCTACTGGCCCCAGCCTAACCAGCCCTGGCCAGTCTCCTCCTGCCTGTTCTTCACCTGGAGAAAAGCTTCCTTTTGGGGTCCAGGGTGGACTGCTTGGATCCCGGGTGACAAAATATTTTTCAGTCCACTCTCCTTGGCAGTGGAAGTGAGTAAATTCTGGGACAAGGATGACTCATCCTCTCTAGGAGTCCCTGACCCCTTCCCAGGTCTGTCTGGGACCAGCCCCCTGCCCCCTTTCTGACACCTGTAGCTCCCCCTTACAACCCCCAACACACACTCACACACACACTCACACACACACACACACACACACACACACACACTCACACACACACACACTCACACACACACTCACACACACACACTCACACACACACACACTCACACACACACACTCACACACACACATACACACACTCTCACACACACACACGCACACACACTCTCACACACACACACATTGTCCTGCGGATCCAGCTATACACAGCACAGCCGTGCTGGGACACAGCCGATGGGGTGATGCGGTCTTGCCCCAGGAGCTTCCAAGCTGTGATGAACCATCTGCTGACCAGCTTTTCCCAGCCAGCTTGGGACCTGCAGCTTCTCTCAAGTGATGCAGTCACTTCCTGTGGCCGCTTGGGTGTCACCTGCAGTGATGGTTCTCAGGTGGCTCCAGAGACTGTTGCTCTTACAACCATCATTTCCAGGACCCGCCCCCATGCCCAGGGAGACCCCAAACCCTCAGGGACTGCCAGTTCCCCTTGTCCTGGGTTTGGTCTGTCTTTATGTCTCATCTATCATCACTGCTCAGATAGGACCTGCAACCCGAGCAGAGTCCACAGTGATGTTCCCACACTCTCCAGTTTCCCTGCCTGGCACACCTGCTCCATCATCTCCCAATCACCCTGACGTTTCCTTTGCAGTACTGATGTGTCCACCTTATCTGGGGGCTGCTTGGATCTGTGTGGGTCCCAGAGACCTTACTGGCCTCACTCCCTGCTGTCTTGAGGCCAGTTCCTGACTTCCTTCAATGGGCACAGGGCATGGCAGAGTGGATGTATGCTGACGGTTTAAATCAATACGTGGTGGGAGAGGACTCCCTGGAGGTGGGCCCTGGGCTCTGCTCCCGCTGCACGCTCGGTGTCCTGCGTGACCTCAGCCACCTTGGTTGGGGCTTCGCTTGGCCCTGGGTAATGCCTACAGAGCAGCCCCCATGCAATCCCATTATGAGCCCATCAGGATTTAGTCTGAGACCCACCCTAAGCCCATCGCTAGCATATGGCATGCTGGCAGGGGTGGGACAGAACTCAGGACATGGTCTCACTGCTTCATTCAGCAACCTGACACCAAGTCTAGCACTGTCCGGGCCTGGCTCTGTGGACCCAGCATTGGGTCAGACCCAGGCCTGGGCCCAGGACCCACAGGTTCTTCTAGAAAGCAGTCTGCAATTCAGTGGAGTCTGGGCTTGGGCAAGAGGAAACTCAGGGGCTGGGGAGCCCAGGGCAAGGCCAGGTAGTAGGCAGGCCATTTAGGACATCCTAGTGGCAGTGTGGGCTTTTCTCAGGAGGAGGAGGGTGGGAGAGGGTAGCCCACGCTGGCCTGCTGTGCAGGCCCTTGCGCTGGCTGCTGCTGCGTGCTGTCTCCTGATGAGAGGAGCAGGCTGCGGGAGGGATTATCTGCTCTTGTTTACATGATTAAAACCAGACAAATACTTCCTTTATCTGAAAGAATGAAAGGGCTTTAGGGAAAAATCCTTTTGGCAGCAAAGCCAAGTCCAAGCATTTCCTTAATTAATCTCTGACCCAACCCGCAGCCCCCATGCACCCTCTCCACACTCCCACTGCAGCCTGGGGCGCAGTGGCCCCTGGGCTGACCTGCCCTGGCTGCCAGAGGTGAGGAGGAGCCTGAAGGGAAGAGAGAGAACCACTGCCCCCTTGGCTCCCTCCACACTGCCTCTGGCCAGGGACAGGTACTAACACAATACTAACCCAATAAAATAGAGAAGCCCCTATTTTAGAGATGGGGTGCTGATGCCCAGAAACAAGGGCGTGCCAGGTGCAGCACTAGGGCTAGGACCCAAGTCGCCAGCTCCCAGCCCACACAGATGTTCTCTCCAGCAAGTTTGCTGCAACCACCTGTTGGACATCAGCCCATGCAGACACTGGAGAGGCCCAGGAAGTACACGGTCACATGTGAGGGATGACCCAAAGATACTCCACACAGAGCAGTCGTGGGCTTAGCTGGAGAACTGGCACCTGCCTGGTGGCCGGGAGTAGGCAGGGAAGGAAGCTTCTAAGAGGAAAGCATGGGCTGGGAACCTTACTGGCTGATGTCTCAAGGTGCCAGTGCACTTGACCTATGACCTTGGCAGTGGAGTAAGGAGCAGAGCAGAGAGGCCCCACAAAGTACAGAGAGGGGAAATCCCTGGGTGCTGTGAGGGTGCCAGGCATGGCCAGGATGGGCCACAGTGGGCACAACCTCTCTCCACACTGACCCTGACTCACCTCTCCCTCCTAGCTTAATGTCAGGCCTCGCTTCTCTGGATGCCAAGACTTCCAGCCGCCTGGGTATCCTGACCGTGGCTTACTACCTGTGGACCACTTTCCTGGCCGTCGTCGTGGGCATCATCATGGTATCCATCATCCATCCTGGGGGTGCAGCCCAGAAGGAGACCACAGAGCAGAGCGGGAAGCCGGTCATGAGCTCGGCCGATGCCCTGCTGGACCTCATCCGGTAACATGGGCCCCCGCCTTGGCTGCAGTTGTCACACATGGCCACCAGAGGGCAGAACAGAGTATGGGGCAGGGAGGCCTGGTCTGGATTATCTGTGACAGAATTGTGAGGGCCTGGTGACTTGAAGGCAGCGGCCAATCTGTGCCTCTGGCCTTCATCACTTTCCCTGCTCAGTGGTCCCCAGATTTACATACATCAGGAAGCAAGCCTTGGGGTGGGTCCTGCTTTCTCAGGATCATCTGGCAGGCAGGTGGTGGAGCCAGGACTCGCCCCAGGGCTGGCTACACCCAGCACAGGGCTGTCGGCTCTGTGGTACTGCCACATTCGCTGTGGCTGCTGCAACCTCAAGAGCAGAAACTCTGCAGAGCCCCTCCTCTCCATCCCTCACCACTGTGCCAGCTAGGTTTGGACCCGGAAGCCCAGTTCAACCCAGTCCTGGAGCTGAGATCCCGTTAGACAGGATGAGGCAGGGTTGGGGCAAGGCAAGGACAAGGGTGTCCATGGGGGGTGATGGAGCAGAGCTCATGCAAAGATGCTGACTTGTGGCCTAGGGGATGAGTCGTAACTCACCAGCGAAAGGAGGCACAGAAGAGAGGAAGGCAGTGGGAACCCAATAGAGAAAGTGAGGCCTTGTGAACCAGGCCAAAACATGTGTTGTAGCCCAGAGACCCCCAAAATGGGTTGTGAGCAAAATGGCATGGTTGGGTTCAGTGGCTCCCCTCCGGCTGGATCAGGGGTGGGGGGTGGGCATGGAGCTGGGGCTGGGGAAGTGGCCTTAGGGTGGAGAAGGGCAGATTACAGGGGCTCCTCAGCAGATGGCATTGGCGGAGCCAGGCCAAATGGGGGTGATGGCAGAAGTGGATGGGGTCACTGACTCCAAGAATGGGTGGCCATCAGGTGGTGGCCAAGCCCTGGGGTGATGCTGAACAGATCAGCCCCGTTGGGAATGCCCACTATTGGCTGTCCAGCAGCCCCAAGTCTGTGGCAGGATGGTCTGTGCTAGAAAGGAAAGTTTGGAAATCCCTGGGGTGAGGGCTTTTGGTGTGACCCCAGTGGCAGACAGGCTCCCAGGACGATGTGAGTGAAGGACCAGGACAAGACCAAGGGAATACCCTGGGGCCATCTCTGGAACCCTCTCTGGGGCCATCTCTGGGGGCCTTCTCTCACTCTCTTGTCCATTTCCAATGCATGAGTCCAGGCCTGTGTGCAGCTAACACTGCATGCTCCTTGCCTCTAAAAGCCATGGTATTCAAGTTCTGGGATCCAATGTGCACTCAGAGACCCTGCCCCAAGGCAGGAGTAACAGTGTGATGGTCCCTCCTTCACGTCCCTTCTGTCCCCCTGCTACAGGAAGTGGGCCATAATGGGGGTACCAGGCCTGTGGATGGTGATTCCTAGTTATGCCTTCACAGGCTCTCGGGTCACAGTGACACCTGTACCTCCCATGGCCTTGACCCAGGCAACCCTGTTCCATCTGGCTCCCTACAGCACCTTCCTCAAAGTCAGCTCTGCACGCTCTGAGTGACCCTGCTGGGCGGGAGAGGGGCCACCAGGGGCTTATGCTCCTTGCTGGAAAGCTCTTAGGTATGAGTCATCCCTTGGACTGCCATGCTCCTCAAGAGCTAGTGTCCACAAGCCAAGATCTTGGCTTCAAGGTGGGGGAGAGCCTTTCCTGCCCCCTCCCCTGTCCCCAGCAGGATGCCCAGCCCTCTGCATCCACTAGTCACTGCTATGTGGCAAAGCAGCCTGAGGTCCATTGGCCTAACCTGACAGCTCCAAGCCTGCAGGTCAGCCAGAATGTTCTGCCACTTTGTGCCAAGCTCACTCATGTGTGTGCTGGAAGCTGGCGGCTCCACGGGGCACAGCTGGCCCAAGGCGTCTTTGGCACAGTGGATGTGGCTGTGTTCCCACGGTCCTTGGTCTCTAGCAGAGCTGGCCAGGCCAGGTGTCATTTATGATGGTGGCAGACATCCAGGAGAGAACTGGCCTGCCTGCATGGATTCTTACCTCAGAGGTGGAGCAGTTAGAGGAAAGAATCGGTTCCTTCCTGGCTCAGAGCAGGAGGGGACCCCAGAGTGGCCAGCCAGCGCACCTGTTCATGGTTGCTGTTGATCAGCCTCTCCCTGCACTGGCCAAGCAGGCTGTTCGTTTTCTCCAGCAAAGCCGACAGCTTCTCTTTTATCCTTTGAAGCTGTGCAATGGACCAGTGATCACAAACAAGCTCACAGCTGCATCCCTACTGTACAGTTCTCCCCTGTCAGACCTGGAGCCACAGAAGGACCCAGTAGGGTCTGTTGGGCCCACCTTCTGCCCTGCGATCTGTCATGTCTTCCAGGAGCCCTTTCTGCCTGCGAGCACTCACTCCCACATCCTGCCTCCAGCCTGGATACGGCTCACCTGTTCCCTGATTCTTTCACGCAGCTGTTTGAAAGCATCTCAGGGTTGACACAGCCAAGCTGGACTCTCGGTTTCCTCTCTAAAAACCTGTGCTTTCCGCACTGGCCCTGTCCATCTTCGCTCCCACGCCTCCCTCCCATAGCTTGCGTATCTGTTGACTCTGCCTTCAAGAGCCTCCACCCCACCTGGTACACCCGCCTCACTATCCCCTCGGGTGAGGGCAGCTTCCCTGCCCTGCTTCCTCTCTGGCTCCCTGGCCTTCCAGCCTGAGCACAGTAGTCACTGGAGATCTCCAAACCATCCCAGTCTGCTGTGGCTTCCAGGCCTTTAGTCACCACACACACACACACACACACACACACACACACACACCTGTATTCACGCACAGTGGCCTCGCTCCTCTGCCTGTTTGCTCCTTTTTTCCTTCCTCTCTCCAGCCATGCCAGCCCCCTGCTGTCCTTGCTCAGGCTATCCTGGTATCCTGCTTAACCTCTCTGGACAGTCCCGCCCCTTTTGTGGGGTTGGAGAGGGGCTCCCAGGCCCCATCGCTCCACTTCTTTCTCTCTCCTTAGTTTCTCCTGCAGCCCTCATTCTTTCCCAACATCACCACATGTCCTTGTTGCCTTATCTGCCCCCTCTGCTGGAACAGCCTTGTAATGGGCCCCTGAGGACCATCCCTTTAAAGCTCTGTTGCCAGCTGAAGGCTGCAGACCAGGGCAGGCAACAACCCAGAGCTGAGTCTGCTGAGTGTGCAATACGGGAGATGGGGTCACCAGGACCAAAGCCCCTGGAGGAGCTGCCGGAGTGAGCTGGGGCTGAGGGAGACTGGGAGGCCGAGGCAGCAGCGAGGGCAGAAGGCCTCATTTCCTAGTCCCATCACTTCTAGGGTTTATTGACTGTGATTCATCTTTTCTTGGATTCTTGATGCAAAATAGCTCTTTCACGTGGGGGAAGGCACCGTGATCAGGGCTGTGGGGCTCTGGACCAACTCTCGTGGCAGACTCTAATGTTCCGGAACATTCCCTGCTCCCTAGGGCCTTCCATGCGATGATGAAAGCTGATCCTTCTGTCCCAAGATGTGGGTAGAACTGGGAGGCTGGCCTCACTCCTGCACAAGAGGACCAGAGCTTGGGAGCCTGCAATGCAGTGCAGCTCTGCTGGGCGGCCCTATGCTGGCCAGCTCCCTCTCGAAGCCTTGGCTTCCCTGGGGATCTTCAAGCTCCCTCCTAGCTCTCTGGTTGAGAAACCCAAAGGCCTGCAGGGGCCACAGGGTGGGAGTGAACACTTCTAGGGATGAGTTCTGAATGACGAGGTTGGGAGAGCAGGCCAGGGCACAGCCTTGAAGGTAGGTAGTGCCCGGTGGCAAGACTGGCTGCCCAGCTTGAGAAATGGCCAGCTGGAGGGTTGGGGGAGGAGGGGCTGCGATATTGCTAAAGGCAGGATGTGCCTGGAGGCCCAGGGACATTCTAGAAGAGGGAGTGTACAGTCACTTCTGTTCAATCCACCTAGATAGAAGCACCTGCTCTGGATGGAGGTGCAGTGTTGGGAGCTGGGGGAGAAATGCAAGACAGACAGAAGCTGTGCCATGTGTCTATGCCGATGCTCTAAGGGGCGTGAAGAAACAAGAACCCCGGCACCCAGCCTAATGGCTAAATCTTTGCCTTGAGTGAGACAGGATCCCATATAGGCGTCGGGTCGTGTCCTGGCTGCTACACTTCCATCCCGCTCCCTGCTGGTGGCCTGGGAAAGCAGTAGAGGATGAACCAAAGTCTTGGGACCCTGCTCCCATGTGGAGACCAGGGGAAGCTCCTGGCTTCATATTGGCTCAGCTCTGGTCAATCATTGAGGCCACTTGGGGAGTGAATCAGCTGATGGAAGATCTTTCTTTATGTATCTTCTCTCTGTATATCCGTCTTTCTTATTTAAAATAAAAACTGGCAGCAAAGGGCCTAGGTACCACCTCCTGATGCTGACTCTGCATCTGCACCACGTGGAGCTGGTGCCTGGGGGCAGGTGCAACAAACGGTAAATCAGACAGATGTGGAAGCTGGGTGCATGGAGAGAGCAGGCTCCAAGGTGCAAACCGGGGACTTGAAGATGCATGTGGACACCTGGAAGGTAACTCTAAAAACACTGGGGAGCCGTGTCCCCATGTGACCCACTAGGCCTTCCATTCCTCTCGCAGGTTCCCAGCGGGACTCCAGCATAGCCCCACTGGAAGAACTCAAGTGGAACATGCATGGAGCCCACCCCTTCTCTTTTTTCCCCATCTTAGTACAACACCCCAGAGGTTAAGTAGTGACTGCTCTATTTATAGCTCTCCTAGCTCCCTCTCAGGGACCGAATTGGAATCTCAGGAATTTGAGCTTGGAAAGGCACAACCCTGCCCCCAACCTTTGGGATCTGGGCTGGAGATGTGGGATCAGGACTGAGTTCAGAGCCGGACCCCGGTGTGAGAGCTTGCTTAGAGGTAGGAGGGGTGGAGGGGGTCACGCCATGTGTGGCCGTGGCGCTGCGTGTGAGACACCCAGGGAGGCAGTGCAGAGTGGGGTTGCAGGGCGGCTGAGGACACCCAGTACATTCTTTCCATAGTGGATAGAGCTGCCTGTGGGAGCCCTGGCCTCGTGGGACGCGCAGCAAGGTTTCCTGTGGTATCCAAAGCTTAAGGAAAATGTTGTACATTTTTCCATCGGATCACCCAAGCACAACTCCTCACTAAAACCTGTTGCTGAAACAACAGAAGTTTGGGGTGGGTGTGTTCTCTCCCCAGGAAGCAGCTGAGAGGCAGGTAGTGCGTGGCCAGCAGGCTCTCGTCCACCCTTGGCTTCCATCTTCACTGTGCTTTGTGGCCTAAGAAGGTTTTTTGAAGCTCCAGCTGTTACAAATGTGTTCTGGACAGACTAGAGCATAAAGTCAGAGGAAGGGGCTGACAGGTCCTGGCTGAATGGACACCTCTACCAGACTGTTTAACAACTGCCACCTGCCTGTCAGTGCCACTCCACTGGAGAGAGAAGCCTTGGGGATTGATGCAGGGCCTGTGGGTCCCCATCACACAGCAGGGCTCTATGGGTGAGGACAGAAGGGAGGAGAGAAACTGGTAAGAGGTAGTCAGCCAGTCATGCCACTGCCCACCTCACTCTAAAGGCAGTTGTGACGAAATGGACACAGTAGGCTTATGTTCCATTTAATCTCTATTTTTTATTGGAAAGGTGGATATACAGAGAGGAGAGACAGAGAGGAAGATCTTCCGTCCAATGATTCACTCCCCAAGCAGCCACAACTGCTGGAGCTGAGCCAATCCTGAGCCAGGAGACTCCTCCGAGTCTCCCACGTGGGTGCAGGGTCCCAAAGTCTTGGGCCGTCCTCAACTGCTTTCCCAGGCCACAGGCAGGGGGCTGGATGGGAAGTAGGGCCGCTGGGATTAGAACCGGCGCCCAAATGGGATCTCGGCAAGGTGAGGAACTTAACCAATATGTTATTGCACCGGGCCCTAATCTCTATTTTTAAAGATGTATTTATTTTTATTGGAGAGGCAGATTTACAAAGAAGAGACAGAAATTTTCCATTTTCTGGTTCATTCCCCAAATGACCACAACAGCCAGAGCTGAACCCATCTGAAGTCAGGTGCTAGGAGTTTCTTTTGGGTCTCCCACATGGGTGCAGGGTCCCATGGCTTTGTTCCATTCTCTGCTGCTTTCTCAGGCCACAAGCAGGGCCAGATAGGAAGTAAAGCAGCCAAGACACAAACCAGCACCCTATGGGATGCCAGCACTCGCAGCTGGATTAGCTAGTTGAGCCATCGCACCAACCCCTATTTGGTTTCTTAAGACCGCTCTGGTATCCTCACTTTCCACTGTGGCCAAAGCAATCTTTTCCTGGAAGCTGCATTAAAAAAACACCTGCTACATTGTTGGTTTGTCTCCTATGACCGTTGTATTCTACATCTATTTGCTGTCCCCAGGAGAGAGGTTAAAATGACGTCCTGGCAGTTACTGCATGAGTGCCCTCCATACCTGGGGCAGGCTGCCCATGCCCTGTGTCTCCCGGCATGCACCTGGCACAATCTCTGGCTCCTGAGCACTGTGCATGCTTGGTGGCAGGAGCCCTGGCAGGTGATGGAGGAAACCTGCTTATCCCTTAAAAGGGGACGGGTCTCCCGCCCCCAGGACCTCTTCATTTCTCCCTGTGACAAGGCTGAAATTGGTGGAGAAGGGCAAATGGCTGCTGGGCCACAGTTGGCCTGCCTATTCCGCACCTGGGTCCTGCCTCCAAAGTCCACTCTGGACCCTCTTCCTCCTCCTGCATGGCCCCAACACTGAAACTGCAGTGTAGAGAAAGGTTGAGTTTCTGCTTCCCACGGGATCGTGGCAGCAGTTAGGTCACCATTTGCAGTATTAGCATCCCACATGGGTGCCAGTTCAAGTCCTGGCTGTTCCACTTCCGATCCAGCTCTCTGCTAATGTGCCCGGGAAAGCAACGGAAGATGGCTCCAGCGCTCAGATCCTGCACCCACGTGGGAGACCCAGACGCAGCTCTGGGCTTCTGCCTGGCACAGTCCTGAGACTATCTGGAGAGTGAACCAGCAGGTAGAAGATCTCTCTCTCTGTGGGCCATTGCAACTTTCAAATAAATTAATCTTTTTTTCAAAAAGGGGATGCCTGGTTGGGGCTGCAGCTTGAACTCCAGCAGGTGTGGGCTGAATTGTGAAGAGAGTTGTCAAGAGCAGGAGGCAGAGGAGACAGTGTGAAAGTCAGGTGCTGGGACCCCAGAGGAGATGCGCGTGCTCGTTGATGTCCGTGATGCAGAGGGGATGACAACACAAATGCCTATTGGCCTCGAGGGTGCCTGCCTCCCCAGCGGGGAACCTGCTCGTCTACAAATCCGTTGCCCAGGTTGATGGCTGGGTCTGCACTGATGACATGTCGTGTGTTCACAGGGGCAGGCGCCATCCACGTGTCCATGTGGTCCCCTCTGACCTCTGACCGTTGTGGTCCACATCTGTTTGCTTAGGCACAGATACTGACTGTGCCTGCTGCATGCCTGCTGAGAGGCTGGCATTCCAGGGACTGGGTCTTATGCTGGCTCCTATGGTTTGTTTGCATTGTAAACTGTCTGAGAGAGTGGCATCATTTTTGATTTTCAAAAAAGGTTGTGACAAAAGGAGAGATCCTATATACTCTTCATCCCACTTCCTCTGCTGCTAGTGTCCTACACATTTGTCAAAACAGAAGCGGGCCTGCTGCCATGGCACAGAAGGTTAAGCTTCCATCTGCAGTAGTTCTGGCTGCTCTACTTCCCTTCCAGATCCCTGCTTGTGACCTGGGAAAACAGTGGAGGATGGGGCCCCACACCCACATGGGGGACCCAGCAGAAGCTCCTGACTCTTGGCTTTGGACCATCCCAGTTCCAATTATTTAAGCCATCTGGGGAATGAACCAGTGAGTGGAAGAACTCCGTTTCTTTTTTCTCTATATATAACTCTGTATTTTCAATAAAAATAACCACATTTTTAAAAGTGAAACAGAGGAATGAAGCTGGTGGAGCCCATTAGCTCAGTCATGGATCTGACTTCCAGCACCAGTGTTTCCACTAATGTTCCTTCGTTTTCCTCTGTTCCAGGCTCCAACTCAGGATGCCTTGTCCCACGTAGAAATCATTTTTTTATTTAAAGTTTTATTTTCCATTCGAAAGGCAGAGTTACAAAGAAGGAAAGACAGAGATTTTGCATCAGCTGGTTCATTCCTCAAATGGCCACAATGGCCAGAGCTGATCTGATCTGAAGCCAGGAACCAGGAACTTCTTCTAGGCCTCCCACATAAGTGCAGGGACCTAAGCACTTGAGCCAGCCTCCACTGCTTTTCCAGGCACATTAGCAGGGAGTTGCATCTGAAGTGGAACAGCCAGGGCCTGGTGTGATAGTCTAGTGGCTAAATCCTTGCCTTGCATGCGCCAGGATCCCTTATGGGTGCTGGTTCGTGTCCCAGCTGCTCCATTCCCATCCAGTTTCCTGCCTGTAGTGTGAAAAAGTGGTAGAGGACAGCCCAAAGCCTTGGGTCCCTGCACCCACATGGGAGACCCAGAAGAAGCTCCTGGCTTCAGATTGGCTTAACTCCGGCCATTGCAGCTACTTGGGGAGTAAACCAGCAGATGGAAGATCTTTCTCTCTGTGTATTAGCCTTTCCAATAAAAATAAGTAAATCTTAAAAAATAAAGAAGGGGATTCAAACTGGCACCCATATGGGATTCTAGCCCTGCAGGGAGAAGCTTGGTGTGCTACACCACCACGTCCACCCAAGAATTTTCTAATGTTATTGTAATAAGATCTGTCACCTGGCTTGTTGTTCCTCTTCTTTCTATTCTTAGTCCTTCCATAGTCTGCAAACTGTGGATGAGATATTAACTCCTTCTTCTCCTAGCTTCTTGTGCTCTTATTTTAGTTAGCTATTATTTCAAAGTTCGGGAACTGAACTTGGCCTAAGGGATTCAGTGAGGCTCTTGCTTTCCAAGGAGCCAGTCAGCAACATGGTGCCCTGCAAGGAACCTGTGAGGCAGCTCTCATCCCAAACCAGGTTCAATGGAAACAGCTACAATGGAAACAGCCATCAAGCAGTGACTCTGCTTCTGGGGCAGGACACTCAGCAACCTGCATGTCCCAGACAAAGAGGCCCCTTGTGAGGAAGGCAGACAGGCAACCAGAGACATGACTGGGTGGAGATGACCCCAGCTGAAAGGACCAGGGGTCGGCCTGGGACCTCCAGAGAAGGCTGGGCAGGGAGGTGGAGGCAGCGATGTGAATCAGGTGGTGTGGAGAGGTGGGAGGGCATGGGGGCAGTGGCTCTCTGAGGGCTGGGACTGCCAGGGGTGGTGCTCAGATGACCCTAAGGGCCCCTCCTGCCGTCCAGTGTGTCAGCATCCTTCAGCTGCTGCCTCTCTTCCTAGAAACATGTTCCCGGCCAACCTGGTGGAAGCCACATTCAAGCAGGTGAGTGGACGTGAGAGGCAGGTGGCGGGGCCAGCCTGGGTCACTCTGGGAAGCAGCAACTGCCCGAGCCAGCTCCCCGTGTCTGGGTGGAGGTACCCAGAGGAGACAAAGGCCGAGGACACAAGGGGACCTGGGTCCTCACAGCCTCCATGGCTGCACCTCCCACCCCACTCTCAGGTTCCAGTTATTTGTGAAGAAAGCCTGTGGGGGGTAGAGAAGCTTTGGGAAGTACTTCCTTCCTCACTCCTCCCATGGTGATCCTGCACCAGGCAAGTGTGAGCCCAATCCCAGGTGGGGAAACTGAACCTGGGAAGGGGAGACTGACTTGCCCCAGCTTAACCCCCAGTGTCCCACCATACAGGGTTCTGTTCCAAGCTGGGCTAGCTCCCAAGCCAGAGTCCTCATTCCTTTTAAAACACTTTTCCCCTCTAATAAGAACAGCAACAACATTTGCTGCAGGAAAATAGAATATATATAAACAGAGGTAAGACCACCTTTATTCCAGCACCTAACAATCATGGATGGCAGCAAACAGCATGTTCTCATGCTTTCTGTGTAAACATTCACAAAATAAGTCAAGGTCCTGAGGCCAATACAGCTCTCACCTTGCTGTCTCCCTCACTTCCAAGTATGGCTCCCTGTTCCTGGAAACACACACATGGACACACATGGACATCACAGCTCCCGGCTATGGGGAGGCTATGCTGTGACAAGGTCAGTTCCCGCGCCGGCAGTCCTGTTACCTAGTCAGAGGATATGGGGAGCTGGCACTGCGGCTTGCATCCGTACCTGCACCTTCTCCCTTCTTTCTTTTTTTTTTTTTTCTTTTATTTGGATAATCTTTATGTAGTTGATTAGAGTACAAAGGGTCAAGGGCTACAGGAAAGTGGGTAAGGCCTTTGTTTCCACATTTTGTGTGTGTGTGCGTATCTAGGGTAAGGAGGGAGATAAAGAGAGAAGCCCCACTCAATCTCCCACCCCATCCCAGGGTCTCCAACATGGGGCATGCTCTGAGGTCACTGCGCAAGTGGTTTTGATAGTTCAGCAGTTCTGAATTGCTGCCAATCTCGCCATTCCAAGCACGATGAAATCTCTCCAGAATATACTAACTGACATAGTCCACCTTAGAGTCTCCATTTGCCCAAATCTTCACTGCCAACACATGGCTGGGGCAGATGATCCATTTGTTCTGTCCTCCGTCCTCTGTTGTGGTACCAGGTGTCCTCTACAGGCTCTGATGGACCACCATTTCCTCCATGTGCACTTGGATATACTGTCTGTTGTTCCATCTGAGCCTCTGAGGAGGCTCAGCTTTGACACATGCACTCCAAGGTCAGACCATGGAACCTGCAATTTTCTTCATGATTTGGGTTCTGGGATCAGCAGTTCAGTTGGAGGGATCCCCAAAGAAACTTCATCTGAGGTGATCTCAGACCTGATTCTTGTGTGTAAATGGCAGTACAGGGCCCAGCACAGTCCATTGCCCCAATCAGCTTATACCTATGCTGGTGGCTGCAATTGCTGTGTCAGTTCTATTTCCAGCCCTGTCTTCCACATGAACTAATGGGTGTTGCAGTCAAGCCTGATTCTGCCCATCTCACACTTGGCCCTCACACAAACCAGTGGTAGCTGCAGCCTAGTTGGGGCAACTCCCAGTAACCCCCACCAGGGCTGTCCCCTATCCTGGTTCCAGTGCTTGCCAGTACACGTACAGCAGACTTGTCCAGTCTGTCCCACATCTCATTCAGCTCTTATATATGTCAATGGGCATTGAAGCCTAGTTCAACACGAGTCCTACTATTATGTCCACACACATGCTGGTGGGTGCCGTGCTGTCTAGCCACCCCTGCCCCAGCCCTGGTTTTCATGCTGTCCAGTGGCAGTGGTAACCCAAGAGAGAGGAGCCCAGTATTTCCCTCCTGGGCCCACTCCCGGATCATGCACTCTCCAGGTGGTTCTGCAGTGTAACTTGACAGATTAAGCCCCCAGTGCCAGCCTTTGCCAGCTGATGCTGCCGGAAAGCCCAACCAACCTTCACCTACTCTGATTTATGCTTGTACCAGTAGGAGCAGTCAGCCCAACCTGGCTTTTCCCTGATCTAGCTCACATGAGGCCCACAGGTGTTGTAGCCCTGCCTGGTCTGGTCTGCCCCCATCCCAACTCACGCCTTCCAGTGGGAGTGTCTGTCTAGCAAGAGAGCCTTTCCCATTCCCTCAACCAGCTTTGCCCCCTTCCCCGCTGGTACTCACGCGTGCTGATTGGGTACTGCGATCCTTCTCCCTTCCTAATGCAACCACCCAGCTAGCATCGCCCGAGCCCCTTTACAGCATGTCCCTGGGACAGAACTGGGACCACACAAGTGGAGCTTGGGTAGGAGGCTCCAAAGGTAGCGTGGGCAAGCTGGAGCAGGTTGCTGCATCCTCCCCTACCCGCCCCAGCCATTAACTCGAGGCCTCCCCTATGGGATAAGCTAGACCGGGAGGGAGGGTTCCCCCTAACTGTAGTAGGCAACTGTGGAACGTATCAGAGGACAAGGGGGGACACTGGACTACTCCCCTTTTTGATAAACTCCTACCCATCTGTCAAAGCCAGATCAAATATCTTCCTTGTGAAGCTGTTGTGGAGAGTTAGCCACTTCTCCCCCAAGTCTTTCAGAGTAGAAAGGGCGTGGGTTTCACTTTGTTTACCTGGCACCCAGCACAAACAATTCAAACATCAGGATGGCGATGACGATGATGATGATAACATCAATGCCTACGTAGTACGTGTTCTGGCAACTATTGCAAGCATTTCGTGTGTAGTATCTCATTTAACCCAGGTGAGGTCAACTTCTTGTTATCCCATTTTACACATAAGATGAATGAAGCACAGATTAACTTTGGCTGATTTTCATTTTATGTGAAAGGTGAAGAGACAGACTGATCCATCACCTCCTGTCTAACTCTCCACCAAAGCTTCCTTAGCCAAGACTGGGACAGGACCAAAGCTGAAAGCCAAGATCAATCCAAGTCTCCCACATGGGCAGACCCACATACCTGAGCCATTCCCGCTGCCTTCCAAGACATACCTTACAGGAAGAAAGACCAGAAGTAGAGTTGCTGGGACCCAAACTCAGGCACCTGACAAGGGACACACCTTAACCACTAAGCCAAACCCCCGCCCCCAGTCCAGAGGCCTATCTGTTTCCTCCTCACCGAGGCTCACCTCACTGATAGGATGGGTGGCTCTGCTCTGGGATGGAGAGACCCCCAAGTACTGTGGGGCAGACAGGGAGAGAGCGGCGGCTCAGGCAGCCCAGCTCTTCCCAGTTGACCTCACTCCATCTGGAAGACTGGGGCAGACAGATTCTCCAACAAGTGGAGTTCGGCACAGCGTAAGATGCCCAAACATCTGAGTGCTTAGGCTCAGCCCCTGGCTCTGCTTCCATCCCAGCTTCCTGCTAATGCAGACCCTGGCAGGCAAGAGTGATGGCTCATGTGGCAGCTGTCTGCCACCCATGTGGTTCCTAGCTCCTGGCTTTGTCCCTCACCATTGCAGGAACTTGGGTGGTGAATCACAGGATGGTAGCTCACTCTCCCTCTCTCTCCCTTAGAAACAGAAATTACGAAAAAAAAAATATGCAAGCAAGTAAATGAGAATGTTTGTTAACATCAGGTGGGGAGCAGGGCTAGTGGTCAAGTGGGTGGATAACAGAAGGCTGGAAGGGCATAGGTTGGGGAGTGAAGGATGCGAGATGGATGGACAGTTGAGAGGAGCCTTGGTCCAGGGCAGAGGGAAGGGAGTACAGAGGCAGAAGCAGAGGCAGAGTTGTGGAGTGAGGCTGGAGGGAGGTTCACCTTGGCAAGTGTACACTGTGGGGTGAAGCCTCCAGGAGCATCCCTGTCCTGCCCACCCGATAAGGCAGGACAGACATGAATGGACACAATGTGCATTCAAGATGGTATTTTTGTTGTCAGTGACCACACTGGGCTCTGACTCCTTCCTGGTTGGATGTCATCCCCCTCTACCCCAGTACCGCACCAAGACCACCCCGGTTGTCAAGTCCCCCAGAGTGGTCCCGGAGGAGGCCCCTGCTAGGCGGATCCTCATCTACGGGGTCCAGGAAGAGAACGGCTCCCGCGTGCAAAACTTTGCCCTGGACTTGACCCCGCCGCCCGAGGTGGTCTACAAGTCAGAGCCTGGCACCAGCGATGGCATGAATGTGCTGGGCATCGTCATCTTCTCGGCCACTATGGGTATGTGCTGCAGCTGACACCAGACACTTTGGAGCCTGGCCATCCTCTAGGCCTTGGTGCCTCCCACCAAACATGGAGGCTTATGCTGGGTTGCCAGCACGGACCCAGGCCTAGCCTCTCCCTCAGCCTGGCTAGAGATGCTAAAGTAGGGCAGACCACAGCCAAGGACTGAAGTCATTATCCCTGCCAGCATCACCACCACCACCCTTGCTCACCCCGCATGGGCCTCCAGCTGCTTCTCCCATAAGACCCTCACAGTAGTCCCCTCCGTCCCCACAGCCCTGCCTTGCTCCGCTCCAAGGCCCCTCTCCCCACCTGCAGCAGGCGAGTCCCAACCAGATAGTTGAAAAGCTCGTGGGTTTGGGGCCCATGGTGCCGGCCTCTTCTGAGGCCTGTGACTTTAAAAATATTTCTTTTGTGACCTTTTGCTTAAAGAGGGTCCCCAGCTATAGAGCTGCAGACCCCAGAAAACCCATAGATAGGGCTCCTCCATTCCCAACCCACACAAAACCTTGGTTCCTGGGAACAACTCCTGAACCTTCTGGAATAATCCAGCTATGTATGTGACCCTGGACTTCTCAGCCACTCCAGGGACCAGGGGTTATTCACATCTTGCTCTAAAGCCTGCAGCAGGTTCTCAGAGGGTCTGGGATGTAGTCTCCCACCTCCCCTTGCACCCCTCCTCCCAGCCTCCCCAGGGTGAAATGCTGCCCCTCGCTGCCCTCCTGGCTGCTCACTAGGAAACCTTGGGCACCTTGTTCCTCATCTCTCTCAACCCTGAGTCCCACTGAGTCTGCCTCTCTCCTAGCTGGCCACTGCCCTCTGCCTGCTGCCATCACCCTGCCTGAGACTGGAGCCATGTGTAGCCCCTGGGCTTCCCACTCTTGCGCCCTCTGAGCTGGGCTGATGCCCTGGGAGAGAGGCACCAGCTGGCATGGGATCCTGCAGAGCTGGATGCACCTTGGCCCAGCCCCTTCCCCTATGTCTGAAGTCCCTCCTGCCTACCCCAGGCCCAAGTCCCTCCCATCTCTCCTCATCTCATGCTCCAGGGACCCTCCTTCAAACATCCCATACCCTGGGCTTCCAAGCAGTCTTCCCCGCCCCCCAACCACCTGTCTCAGGCACCACGTCCATTGCCTGCCCTGCTCCTCTGTTGACCATGGAACCTCCCGAGGCCGGTTGGTCATCATCCACTGTGTGATATGACAGGTTCGTGCATGGCCTGAGTGAGCGGCTAAAGCAGGACTGAGTTGTCTGCTGATGAGGGGCAGGTGGTGGGTGGGGGATGGAAGGTGCCAGCCCTATGGGATAGGGTTGTGGCCACTATGGCCAGAATACCAGGCACACACAGGGTCAGGATGCATCAGAAATGGCCCTCAGTACACATAACAGTTGGTGGTCCCCCACCCCCTGGGACCACCCTGGTAACCTGTGAATCCACCTACAGCTCTATCACCCTTCTACCCCACACCACAGGCATCATGCTGGGCCGCATGGGTGACAGCGGGGCCCCCCTGGTCAGCTTCTGCCAGTGCCTCAACGAGTCTGTCATGAAGATCGTGGCCGTGGCTGGGTGGTAAGCCTCCTTTGGGAACTCCTCTGCCCTGCCCCACTGCTTCTAGACCTGTTGGGGTGGAGGTAGCCCAGGGCCTGTGCTATTGGGCTGTTCAGAGCTGCTAACCCTCTGGCTCTGTCAGGAGGAAACCCTAGGACACAGCCTGGCTCTGAATTCACACCTTAGGAATGTTCTGGCCCAGCTGGGTAAGCGCCAAGCAGAAAAGCAGAGGCCTTGGGGCTGCAATGGGGTGTCCCTTAAAGTTGAGGTGACTCTTCAGAGACTCAGACAAGGCAAGGCAGAGGTGTAAGAAGCTGCCCCAGGCGTTGGTGTCACTGATGCTGCTTTGGGCCTAACCCTCGTATGCAGCCTCACTTCGTGCTCATTGGGAACACTGGGAGGCTCAGAGGGGATTGGGCCATGGGGCCATGCGGCCACGTGGCTCCAGGGCTCCGCGGGTGACTCTTACCTGCCCAGTGCCTGAGTCCACCCCACCCCACCAGGTACTTCCCCTTTGGCATTGTGTTCCTCATCGCGGGCAAGATCCTGGAGATGGACGACCCCAAGGCCGTGGGCAAGAAGCTGGGCTTCTACGCCGTGACGGTGGTGTGCGGGCTTGTGGTGCACGGGCTCTTCATCCTGCCCCTGCTCTACTTCCTCGTCACCAGGAAGAACCCCATTGTCTTCATCCGCGGGATCCTGCAGGCCCTTCTCATCGCGCTGGCCACCTCCTCCAGGTAGCCCCGGCTGATGGGCAGCTGCTCTGGGTCTCCCCACCACCACCACCAACCTCCCACCCCACCCCAGTCTGGCCTTTCTTGGCTCCCAGCTGTAACCGATAACCAAATCACAAAAGCATCAGTGTGACCACCTCAGCTTCCCAATCTGTCAACTTCTCGCAGGCCCCTCCTCCTGAGCAGCACAGGCCCCGCCCCTGGCAGCGCTGGCCCCTCCCTTGGCAGTTGAAGCCCCTCCCTCAGGACTCGGTGAGCAAACAAGCATGCAGCACAGGGTCCTGCTCGCAGTAGGTGCTCCCTGGCGGCCACATCCCAGGCTCCCCAACAGGTCCCACCTGCGAGCACCAGCACAGCCTTAGAGACGCAGGTTCTCCCCTGCTCTGCTGGACCACCCTGAAAGAGGGTGGCAGGCAGACTCTGGCCCCTCTGTCCTTAGCTCAGCCACACTGCCCATCACCTTCAAGTGCCTGCTGGAAAACAATCACATTGACCGGCGCGTTGCCCGCTTCGTGCTGCCTGTGGGTGCCACCATCAACATGGACGGCACTGCGCTTTATGAGGCTGTAGCCGCCATCTTTATAGCCCAGGTCAACAACTACGAGCTGGACTTCGGACAGATCATCACCATCAGGTGCATCCTGGTACTCCACAGCCAGGGCGGGTTTCAGAGGCCAGAGAGGGCCTGGGGCTCACTCCAGGCAACACAGCGAGTCAGAGCACTCTCTGTGCCTTGGGGCATCTTGAGGGTGGATGGGGCAGAGCCATGGCTGGACAGACAGGGCAGCGAGGGCAACATGGGCAAGCACAGGGCCAATGCAGCAGGACTGAGGACAGGATGGGGGGTAGAAAGGGGAGGGGGATATTTTGGAGCTGAAGTCCAGGGAAGGTGTGGGGTGGGTAGGGGCTGAGGAAGCCCCATAGCCAGCTTGAGCTAGTCTGGCTGGGGACCCCAGACCCCAGGGGCGCCTGGGGCTCAGCTGTGCCTGCGGGTGCTCTGGGTGCTCACAGCAGCTTCCTGGGACTGGAGGCGCAGCTCCAGACACGAGGAGGTTCCCCGAGGCCAGTGATGGGGGTCTGGAGCCCCCAAGGATACCCAGCTGTGTCAGTCCCTGATGACCCAGGCGTCCCACCCCGCCCCACCCCAGAGACCCAGGTATCCTGGCCACCTACCTTGCACCAGGGCTCTGACGGCACCCGTCCCTCTCTTCTTGCTCCTCCTCTGCCCCTCCCCACTCCTTTCCCTGCAGCATCACAGCCACTGCGGCCAGCATCGGGGCAGCTGGCATCCCCCAGGCCGGGCTCGTCACCATGGTCATCGTACTGACCTCTGTGGGACTGCCTACCGATGACATTAACCTCATCATTGCCGTTGACTGGGCTCTGTGAGTAGAATTCAGTCCCAGCCCCAGTGCTCAGCTGGGACCACAGGTGTCTATACATAGACATGGGCCTGGCTATGTGATGTGTGGGCCCATCATTCAAAAATGAGGAAGAACTTCAAGACCGGTTGGTTGGGCCCTGGGGTGAAACATGGCTGTACACCGATAGAACCCCCTATGCCACCTGCCTCCACATCAGTAGGGGTGGGGGTGCTTACAGGGGCCAGGGCACTGCCTGCTGCAGGCCCTGCCCTGCTGGCCATCCCTGGCCCTCTTCCAGCAGCCCTCAAGCCCCTCTTACCACCTGCCTTGGCTCCCCAGGGACCGCTTCCGCACCATGATCAACGTGCTGGGTGATGCGCTGGCTGCGGGAATCATGGCTCACATCTGCCGCAAGGACTTCGCTCAGGACCCGGGCACTGAGGTTGGAGCAGTGTTTCCCCACCTCCACCCCAACCCCACTCCCAGGAGCCTCAAGGGCCAGACAGGGCACGGTACCTCCCTCCAACAGACCACTGGAAGAGAAGCCTTTAATCTATGCCCCCTTGGCTTTGGCTTGGGGAGGGGAACCCCCGTCCTGACCCGTCCCACTCTCACTCCAGGTACCCCCCCCCCCCACAGTGCTCCCTTGTGTCTAGCCTCAGTCCTGCCTGCTGCCACCCAGGCCTTCCTCTCCTTTGCAGAAACCGGGCCCCTGTGAGACCAAGCCAGTGAGCCTCCACGAAATCGTGGCAACACAGCAGAATGGCTGCGTCAAGAGCGTGGCCGAGGCCTCGGAGCTGACCCTGGGCCCTGCATGCCCCCACCATGTGCCTGTACAGGTGGAGCAGGATGAGGAGCCAGCCACCACCAGCTTGGACCACTGCACCATCGAGATCAGCGAGCTTGAGACCAACGTCTGAGCCTGCAGGGCTGCAGGGGCCCAGAAAAGCCTCTGGGTTAGGGACCAGGAATCAAGAGCAAGGTGCGTTAGCTCAGCGACTTTCCTGAGCAGCCATTCACGTGAGCCTGCAAGTGCACCAGGGGAGGGTTATACCACCATTTAATGGATGACTGAGTCAAGGCTGTGAAGGTTGGACACATTTGCCTAAGGTCTGGATGTAAAGGCCAAGTCCCAGCCACTTTGTTCTGAAGGGCAGGGCAACCTGCGGGGCTGAGTCCACAGCCTGCAATAGGAAGGCTTCACTGCACCCCAGCTGCATCCAGGCCCCACCCCACGACATGTGGCCTCCGCCAAGCCACTCTCCAGGATGGGCCCAGCCCAGCTGGAACCCGCTGCCTTCCATGTGCCACAGCCTACCCTGGCTCCTTTTGTACCCACTAGCTCTCACAAGCTCATTTGGTGTGGAGACTGAAATCTGCCCAGGGGTGGGGGCTAGTCAGGATCTAGGGAAGGGGCTCAGCTTGGGGTACCCTGTCCAAGGCTTTGGTGGGGTCCAGGTGTCAGGCCCCCCTAGAGGCCTGCATAGTCAGACTTTCCCTTCCTGTTTTCAAATCCAGCATTCAATAAATAAAGGTCCTTGTTTTTCAAGTCCAAGAGGCTCAGAGACCATTGGCTGAGACCAGCACTTACTGGGCTTCCAAAGGGCTGTGAAGAGTGTGGGCTGGCCTGTTTGGGTACCAGCGCAAGGACAATTCAGTCAGATGGCCAGGTACAACAGCTAGCAGGGGGCCAAAGGATAGGCCTCCCCTCAATGGCACTGGATACAGAGGAGCCTGGGGGCTGTGGACTGACCCCCTGCTCCTGACCTGGGCTTTGTTCTGCAGGTGGGACTCTGGGGTGTCTTCCTCAGGCAGCCCAGCCCCTCTGCTGCACGTGTGGCTGTAGAGAGGGAAGGGCCCCCAGGGCACCACCACTGCCTCCTTCCTTCTCCTGACCTGAAGAGCATGCACAGAGGATCCCTGACCATACACTTGTTCCAGAAAGGTGGGGTCTGCAGGTGTCTCTCCCAGTGATACCCCCACTCCAGGCCCTCCACTTGAACTTCTTCTACTCTCCTCCCAGGGTCCAGTCTGAGGAATCCAGGAAGAGCCTTCTTTAAGCAAAATTTTTTAAAGAATTATTTTTTTCTTTATTTGAAAGGCAGAGTTAGAGAGAGGGAGAAACATGGAGAAAGATCTTCCATCTGTTGCTTCACTCCCCAAATAGCCTCAACAACTGGGGATGTGCTAGGCTGAAGCCAGGAGCTTCTTCGGTGTCTCCTACATGGTGGCAGGGACACAAAGACTTGGGTCATCCTCCATTGCTTTCCCAGGCACTTTAGCGGGAGCTGGGTTGAAAATGGAGCAGCCGGGTCTTGAACTGGTGCCCATATGGGATGCTGGTATTGCAGATGGTGGACTGCAAGCCCATAGCTCCAGCTCCCAGGAAAGGCCCTAGTCCCAGGATACTCCTCCCACGTGAAGTTGGGAGCCTTCCTTAGTGATGGGCCATATGGTCAAACTACCGTCACCCTAGCTTCTTGTGGACAGGTCACTCACCTCCCCTGAATCATGTCTCTAAGATCTTTCATTCAGTTGAGCCTCTCCCAACACAAGGCAGGTTTGACAGGTGTAACATGACACACCTCCAAGGGCAGGCCATGTATTGCCTCATATCAGAGGCTCTCCTTCCTACAGAGCCTGATGCCACCTTTCCCAGCACCTCCACCTGCCAGCCCCAAATCTGCTGTTACGAGGACAGGAGAATACAGGCGCTTGTCTCAATCCCTGCCTGGGGAGACCTGCAGAGACCTGGATCCCTCAAGTCTGCCCCAGCTCCCACACCTGTGTGTGGTCCCCTTTCTTCTCATCTGAGACATGGCTCAGGGCAAGAGGGGCTGTCATGGGGGCTTTTCTGCAATGCTGAGTTTCTGGGACCATAGGATGAGCTTGTAGGCCCATGCTGCAGTCCTGGCCCCACCTGCCAACTCCTGCCAGACCAGAGGCCATGCCCTCTCTCTCTCAGGAGCTCTTCCTGCACAGTGAGTTCACAGGCCTAGAGAGCCAAACTTTGCACCAATTCCTGCCATCTGGCCAGGAGATGAAAATGCTCCCATCCCAACCTCCCCAAGCTAGTACCAGTTCCAGGGTCTGACATGACACAGGCGTGTACACACACACACACACACACACACAAAGGCCATGGCTGCAAGAGCTGGGATAATGCTTTTATATTAGTTTTTCTGTAACAAGAAAAATCAGCATAGAGATTTGTATCTTTTTTTTTTTCTTAAAAAAAAATCAGAATCACCCAGAACTTTCTGCAGGTCCACAGGTATAGCAGGGTCTTTCTGCCAGGCTCCACTTCTGCCTTTTGCTGCCCCAAGACCCCATCCCCAAGGCACCCAGACTGCGCCCCTGTCAGCCTGGGGTGGGGAGGGGGATGCTTACTCTTGGGAAAAATGCCTGTGGCCGGCAAGGGCTCTCAGTGGAGTAGGGGTGGGCATGGTGCCAGGGCAACAGTCCCAAAGGGGAGGGAAAGGAACAAAAGCCAGCTTTTGTGAGTTCCCAAGGGCAGCAGGCACCTGGCCAGAGAGAGCTTGGAGAGAACCCTACAGCTTCTCCAGGGACGGATAGACAGACAGATGGACGGGGCACCCGGCAAGCTGTTCTGGCTGCAGGTGAAAGCTGATAGCGGCAATGGCTGTGGTTTGCTGACACTTGGCTGTGTGTGCGTGTGCGTGCATGTATGTGTATGACAGAGATATAGACTGGGAACTGGAGTAGGCCACATGTGTGCCAGGACAGACGACACCCTTCCCAGTCTGTGTGCCTCGGAGGGCGTGGTGGTAGCTGCGGGGTGTGACAGATTGGAGGGCGAGCAGCTCTGTGCACATGCGTGTAGGGGTATAGCTTGGTGTGTGCACGTGTCTGCCTGATGGACACGCTGTAGGAAGGAGTGGTACCAGGTTCAGTCTGGATTGTGCAGATCGTCCCAGGGCATGGTGCTGGGTGTGTTCATGGGAGCTTGGCAGATGAGGACTTGCCGGCTGAGCACAGGTGTATGGGGCGGCGGGAAGGAGTCTGGCATCCTGTGGAATATGTGGGCAAGTCAGGGGCCAGCTAAGGCAGGCCTGCCACCTATACTCAGTACATAGGGCAGATGGGAGGCAGGCAGGGGGGCCCTGCTACTGTGAGAGGACAAGCAGGTTGCCACCCTCCTGCCCCACCCCAGGAAGCCAGCAGGAGTTGCTTGTGCCAGCGTGAACTGACCAGAATCTTTGGAGCCCATGGCCACTCCCTGAGGCCTCCCTGGGTTGGCCAGACTGTGGCCCATGGCCTCTAGTGGCAGCCAGATGCTGTCTCTCTGCAGGCTGCTGCAGATCACTCCTGAGACCAGGGCATCCTCAGTAAATGGACAGTGTCCCCTGAGGCTAAGCCCTGGCCCTGTGTCCACAGAGAGGGGATCCAGGAATAGAGCAAAGGGATCCCAAGCCTGGCCCCTCGCTCCTCTCTGTTCTCAGTGTGGACCCTTTACTCACCTCCTCTGTCACCCATCAGCAGCTCCTCCAGCTCCTCCGTGCCCAAGATCCCATTTCTAACACCTTGAACTGCCTCCTCCTGCACAACAGCCACTCCCTGGCCCCAGAACACCCTCTGAAGGTTTCATTCACCTCTATTATCTCTCACTTCTGTTCCTGGCTATTGGTATCCTCCGTGCCCACACTTCAACACCCCTCTCAGCACCCCTGCCCACCCAGGCCTCCTATCTCCTCCTTCTATCCTTCCCAGCCTGGCCCAGCCTGGCCCATGGATCCACAGCTTCAGCATTCTCTTGATTTCCTGTCCCTCCTATCTCCACAGCCCTGGCCAAAAGCCCAGCCATGGACAGACCCAGCTGTCCATCTTCTCTGTTCTGCTAAGCACGTGGAGAAAGCAAGAGGCTAAAGGTATCGGGCTGATGTGGCTTCACTTCTAGCCACCAGACCACTAATCTGCCCATGGCTGCAGGTGGGAGAGGTACTGACCTTCCTGGGCTCCCATGGGGCACCCATGGCCAACGTGGCTGCTCGCAGTGCTCCGCTGCAACTCACCCCATCAGCATCCATGCTATCCCCGAGAAGAACCATCAGCTGACCGAGCCCTTCCAAAACATCCCCCCTTCCTGTCCCAGCTCTGTTTTCTCCCAGGTCCTCCCAGCCAGACCCCTGGATCTACTTGCTCTCCAGTCACTCTCCACCCGTGTCTGCCTTTTGCAGTTGCTGCCCACAGAGTTCCCAATAAATTCTGAGTGCCCAGCTCTCCTGTCTCTTTAGCATGGCCAGCTCCCCACTTCTGCATGTGCCAGTGTGTCCTCACACATGCTCATGAAAGGCATGTATGGGTGTGCACATGTATGTACCTGTTCAGTGCCCATGCATGTTTTGACATTCTGCATGTGCTTTCTGAATGTGTGCTCATGTGCATATCATATGCTTGTGTCATGGGAGTCAGGGTGCTGGCACCTGGGTATGCATATGTATGCAAGTGCATGTTCATGGGTGTTATGCTTCAGACATGTGCAAGCCCGTTTTGCCTGTGGTTTTCCCAGCTCCTTCCTTAATTGCTCCAACTCACAGGCTTCTGGCCTGTTACACCTGCACCATCTATTCACCTGTGCTGTACAAATACCCTCAGTCCCACGTAGCTCTAGGCTGGAGATGTTTGGAGCCCCGTCTCCAGCCCAGACCTCGCTCCTGAGCCCCAGACCTGGTTAGCTCCCATCACTAGGACAAGCTGGACAGAGAATGAATGGAAAAAACTCTGGACTGGGCTCAGGGACAGGAAAGAGACATATGTCACCCCTACCACTCTACCTCTACCTACCTAGGTCAGATCTCTGTCACTTTGTCACTATCTTGGTTCGTCCTCCTCTTCTTCTTCCTCCTCCTCCTCTTCCTCCTCCTCTTCCAAGTGGCCACGGTCCTTAGAAACATCACCAACTTCAAAGTTGCCTTCAATGTCCAAGACCTGCAGCTGTGTCAGCCTCCGGAAGGCGCTTTCCACCACAGAGCCCACGGCCAGCTTGTTAAACCTGTGTGAGCCATCCACACCAGGGGTCAATGCCAGGAGCCCGCCCTGTCCTACACCTGCCCACACTCCTCCAGGTACAAGAACAGACACTGAACCTCTCTGAAAGGCTGTGGCGCAGACCAGTTAGGGGGCGCTGAGGAGCACAGAGCCCAGGTTGTCAGGGGGCTCCAGCCCCAGGAGCATTCACGCTAACAACCACCTGGGAGTGGCAGACACAGGAGAGCTGCCTCTTGGCCCACTTGGGCACTGACCCTGATGCCTGAGCTGAGAGGATCATGGAGGTACCTACAGGGGTCTGGGACCTCGTGGCCACACACCCCCTGTAAACACATATGCTGCCCTCCTTCCATCTGCTATGGGAGGGTTGGAAAAACCATTCCAGCTCCTCTGAGTGGAAGTGCCCATGACTGGGCACTGGACCCCGGCATCACTGCAAACCCCATCCTGGTCCCCAGCACCCAGACAGCACCAAACATCTCCATCCTGGGTCTCTCTTCTGCACCCTGTGCTCTCTGGGCTACGTTGGAAGGATGCTCCTGGAGTCCCTTCTGCACAGGAACATGTGGCACTTTGACAAACCTATGAACCACATCAGGCCTAGCCAGGCCTGCCCCACTCTTAGGAGCAGAGGAAATGGGAGGTTATGTGACAGACCCAAGGTCCTACAGCCAGTCAAGGGTGAGGAAGAGGGAGTGGGAAGGGGGCAGGTCATCCATGCCGACCTCTGCCTTGACTGTCCCATTGGAGCTGGGCAGGCTCCTCAAGGGACTCTCCTACCTGAGAAAGATGCCCTTGAGGTTGGGGGTGGAGTCGAAGGCATGGGCAGGCACGGAGCTGATCTTGTTGTTCTGCAGGTACAGGTACTCAAGTGACTCCGGGAGGCCCTCCGGGATCTCCGTGAGCTGATTCCCAGCGATGTCCAGCAGCTGCCAGGGTGACAAGAGAGTCAAGGGCTCCCATGTGCACGAAGCCCTGAATGACCCGTCTGAATCCCACAACAGCCCTGTGGAGAGGCTGGGCCCATAACCAAGCTTATTTTCCAGATAGGAAAACAGGCTCGGGGGCTTATACCACCTGCATGAGGCTACCGAGTAGCTAAGAGGTAGACTCCTGGTATACCTAACTCCAAACTCTTGTTCTCATGGATGCATGTCCCACCCAGACCCCTCTGCCTTCTTCCATCAACTCAGAACCAAGACAGTCGACAGTCACAGTCCCTTCTCTTCCACACACCTGTCACTTCCATGTGACTCAAGACCTCTAAAAGGCAGAAGTCGGGGTCCCTGGCCCTGGATGGAATTGGGGGAGGCACCCAGAGAGGCTGCTCTGCCGTGGACTCCAGGAATCCCAGGTAAGGGATTAGGAACAGGCAACAGGTAGACCCCAGGTTGCTCAGTCCCACTGTTGTGGCAGAAACAGCAGTCAGGGAGATGGCAGGAGGAGGAGGGGAAGGAGGGGGGTCTCCCTAAGAGTAAGTGTATTGGCTCTGGGCCACCTTCAGGCCAACCCCTCTCCCCCACCCCCGCCAAAGGTGTAGGTGCACTCCGGCCAGACTTGCGTATCCATGCAGCTGCCAGGTGCCAATCTATGATCACTAAGCTCTCCTCCTCACTCCAAGGTGTAGGGTCAGGAAATGGGGAGCTGGAATACCAGGAGCCAGAGGAGCCCTGGAGGGGGTCCTCCACACATAGGACTCCCTGCCTCCACTGGGTTCCCACCTTGCACCTCTACCCAGGCATTTTCCCTTCAGGGGGAAGATGGACACAAGCTGACTGTGACAAGCCAGGAGGCTGGATTGGGATGAGGGAGTCCCAGGGAGCAGCCTGACCCAGCCATGTTGTAGAAAACATTTCAGGGGACGGAAGGCATCTGGCACAGATGGGGTTCTGCCGCTGCCTGCAGGAAGCTCCAAGGGAAAAACAACCCCTCCTCTTCAAGTCTCCATCGTCTGGCCAATGCCCACCCCCAGGCCCTGACCAAAGTGACCTGCCCTTTGCTGAAGGAAGTGGCCCATGAGTCATGTCCTGAGTGTGTGCTCTGAAATAGTGGACCTCCACCTTAGTCCCTACAGGGCCTCAATTCTAAAACTGTCACACACGTAGGGGGTACAGTGCAGATTTAAGAATGAATGAATGAATCCCTGTAAACAGGGCAAGGAAGGTGGTCCCAGCAGCCTGACAGGTGTGAGCTGGGAGCAAAGACAGACATGCATGGAGTCAGCTGGGGCTCTAAGGGACAGTGTGTGGGCAGGAGTGTGGCATGGACAGGAGCGTGGCATGGGCAGGTGGTGTCCAAGTTACCTTTGAGTGCATGCGAAGGACGAGAGAGAAAGCTCCCAGGCCTGGGATGTGAACAGCAGGGATGGAGGTGGGCGATGGGCTAGGAGGCAGGCAGCAACACTGGCAGGGTGGGTGATGAGGGGTTGCTGTGCTGTGTCTCAGGCAGCTGCTGGGTTCCCTGTGGGCACCTGGGTGGGTATCAGCCTGGCCCTTACACAACATAGGGAATGCAGCACAGCAGGAGGAGCAGGTTGTAGACTAAAATGCCAGCTCCATGGGCAGCAAGTGACCGATGGGAGGAAGACAGACTCAGGGCTGAGGCCAGGCCTCCCAGAGAGCTAGGGAGCTGGGACAGGTTAGGTCTGTCTGACGGGGTGACATCAGCCCTCTGTCCCAGGCCCTCTGTTCACTGTCCCTTCTCACACAGACTCACTGCTTATTGCCACAAGAGGTGCCACTCCTGCATCCAGACATCCTTGCCCAACTCTGGCCATACCAACCACACACAGTGACCATCCCCTTCTCCAGCCCTCCACAGGCTGGCGAGGTTAGCCCACCCCTCTCAAGGCCCAGTCTTCAAGTCCTCCTGTAGCTGCAGACAAGGGAGACTGACTCCTCTGCCGCCCCAAGTGCCTGCAAGTTTCTTTGAACCAGGCACCCCCTCTCTGCAGCCCTCAGCTGCCCACACCTCCCCAGGGTTTCTCAGGTGTGGAACTCAGCCTTACGGGACATTCTGCCCTTCTCCTCTCCTGGACCTGGGCTGATCCAGCCACAAGAGCCACTACTCCCTCCCACTTGGCCCCTGCCAGCAGGCATGGGCTCTGGGCAGCACACTGGAAGCAGGACGGAACTGGCAAAATGGTCATGGGCAAATGAGATTAAAATCTAAGTTTATTTGTGTCTCTCCCTCAACACACATACACTTTTAAATCTGTGCATGGTCTTTTTTACAATGAACATCTTTATATGAACTTGTGGATTTATTTAATTATTTAAAAGGCAGCGACACACAGAGATGGATGGACAGAGAGAGGAAGGGAGGGTTCCGCCCCTCCTCCTTGGGCTGCCCCTGCAGGAGGGGGCAGGGGACAAGACCTTAGTCTGCCTCTTCCAGGAGAGTGGCAGGAATTTGGTCACTTGAGCCATCCTGTTGCCTGCCAGGGTCTGCAATAGCAGGAAGCTGGCCTAGTGAGCGGGAGTCAGAAATGCTACTGATCCAGGACTGGTGCCTTAACCACTGGGCCACATGCTCATCCCATCCCAACCCTTCAGAAGACCCCCTTAGACGTCCCTAGGCAGGACCCAGCCCCTCCCCATCCCCTTACCTGCAGATGGGCGAGGTCAGCCCAGGCACGTGGCCCCAGGGCCCTGCTGCGCAGCCGGTTGCCAGTGAGGTAGAGTTCGCGTAGCTGTGCCATGCCTGCCAAAGCCCCACGGGCCAGGGCGGCTAGCTCATTGCGCTTGACCTTCAGCACGTGCACATTGCGGGGCAGCCCGGCCGGCAGCGTTTGCAGGCGGTTACCAGACAGGTCCAGGGAGCGCAGCAGGCGCAACTTGCGGAAGGCGTCACGGTGCACCTGCGAGCTGGTGATGCGGTTGTAGCTGAGGTTGAGCTCCTCCAGGAAGTAGGTGGTGGCAAAGTCGTCCCGACCGATGCCCGTGATCTGATTGTGCAGGATCATGAGGGTGCGCACGCGCCGGGGCAGGCCGCTGGGCACCCGCTCCAGCGCATTGTTGTATAGGTGCACCGTGTGTAGCCGCTTGAGGCCCTGGAAGGCTAGCGGGTGGATGCCCTGCGCCCGCAGCTGGTTGCTGTGCAGCAGCAGGTACTCAAGGCTGCGGATGGGCGTCAGCACGTCGGCGTCCACACTGCGGATGACGTTCTTCTCCAGGTGCAGCAGCACCAGGCTGCGGGGCAACCCGGCCGGGACCCGGGTCAGGTTGTTGCTCGACAGGTCCAAGTACTCCAGGCTAGAGAGCTTCCTAAGGAGCAAACAAGGGAGGTGGTGAGAAGAGCTGGCCTGCGTCCAGCTTGTTCCCACTGGCCTTACTGCATGGAAACAGCAGGAAGAGACCTCTCTCTAATCACCTCCAGCCCTGGCTCTGCAGGCTGGGGTTTCTCTGTCCTCTAAGCCTTTCTTCCAAGAACATGAATGGAGGAGGTATCTAGCACAGTTTCTGAGTTGGAGAACACTGTCTGGTCTTTAGTTTGCCTTCTGTGATTATCCTGGGCCCTAAATAATGAAAATGCAGGGTAGGCATGTGGTATGGCAGTTAAAAGGCACTGAGGATACACACACCCCATGTGGGAGTGCCTGGTGCTGGTGCCAGCTCCTGGGCTTCCCAGCCAGCTTCCTGCTAACGTGCATCCACTCTGAGAGGCAGCAGCTCAGTGCTTGGGTCCCTGACACCCATGCAGGCAGCCCCAGGAGTGTTCCAGGCTTCTGGCTTCATCCTGACCTGGCCCTTGCTGTGGCAGGCATTTGGGGTAGTGCATCAGAGCATAGATCTCTTTTTCTGTGTGTCTGCTTCTCTGCCTTTTAAATACAAAGTGAAAATAGAATCTGTTTTTTAAAAATGAAAATGCAGGGCTGGGGTTGTGGCACAGTAGACTGAGCCACTGCTTGTGACGTCGGCAGCCCATTGGGCTGACAGTCCTGGATGTTCAGTTTCTGATTCTGCTAATGCGTCTGGCAAAGCAGCAGAAGACGGTCCAAGTGCTTGGACCCCTGCCACCCACGTGGGATATCTCAATGGAGCTCCAGGCTTCTGAATTCAGCCTGATGCAGCCACACCTGTTTAGGCATCCAGGGACTGAACCAGCAGATGTAAGATCTCTTTCTGTCTCTCCCTCCCTGCCCTTCTGACTTTCAAATAAATAAACTTTTAAAAAGTGTATTTGCCTTCCATGAGAATGCATGAAACACTTTCTTGATTCATCCTGCATGTCAAACATGTGGTCACTTTTCTTGGGGACATCGCCCTCCCCATGGGCCACACGGGCAAGGGAAGTATGAGAGAGAGAGAGGACATGGCTGGGGGCAGTCCCCTGGAGGGGCTTCCTGGCCCTGCAGCCACACTGAGGGTGGCTGAGACGCCCACTCACCAGAAGGTCTCGTTGTCCAGGCCCTCGTCTGTCAGATAGTTGTTCTGCAGGTAAAGCTCACGCAAGTTGCTCAGCTCACTGAAGGCGCCTGGCGGGATCTTCTCCAGTTTGTTGTTCTGCAGGCGGAAAGGCAAGGAGCCGAGAAGGAGGGGAAGGTGAAGGGTGAGGGCCTCTGTGCCCTGTGGCCTGGACCCTTCACTCTCTTGCATGTCCCTGTTCTCAAGCCCCAGTCCGGAACCTGCTCTTCCCTTCCCCTCTCCCCCGCCGCTCGCACCCCTGACCTTGAGGTGCAGCTTGTACAGGGCAGGCGGCAGGTGCTTGGGCACGTGGCGCAGGAAGTTGCTGGACAGGATGAGGATCTCCACGTTGCTGGAGCCATTGAACATGTTGTCAGGCAGCCCAGCATCGGCCAGCTTGTTGTTGTGCAGGTACACAGACCTAGGGGTCAAGCACAGGCCCTCACCTCACCTGGGCTCACCCCCACCCTTGAGCTGGCCCCCATCTGGACAGTCTCCAAATCCTTGTTCAGGCAAATCAGAAGGGGTCTGGCATGCTCTTCCTCTACACAGTTAAAATCATTCAGACCCCATCCACACAACCACAGAGAACCACAGCCAGAAGGGCAGGTGCCCTGCCACTCCTGGCTCTCAGGGGACTCTGCCCTGGTAGCTCTGGAGCCCTTGTCCATCTCAGCCCCCCAGCAGCCCCAGGCAGCCAGGCAGAGTTCTGTAGGACTTTCCCTGCAGACATGACCCATCTTGCCTGCCCTGTTGTCCTAGCACCCAGCAGAGGCCTTGGCTCAGAGGGGAGCCTCATGCATTTAGCAAACATAGTGAGTATGCCATTGTATGTCACATGTGTGTACACATGTGCAAATACAGAACATGTGCATATGCATATAAACATATAAACAGAGGTCATGTGTGCCCCACTGGGAAGCATATCTGCCTCTGGGAGGAAGGAAGACTAGCAGCAGGGGGTGTATGAGGATGCTTCACAAAGCCTGCAGAAATTCATATCGTGAAGATATTCTGCATGCACTTCCATGAATTTTCCACCAAACTATCTTTTACTGCCACAAAATACTCTGTGATTGCTCAGTCTTGCCTCGCTTGTGCCTCAGTCTTCCTATCTGTACAATGGGACTGTGCATTGTGACACTCCTCTCCCCCGACCCCTGCCAGGTCCTTAAGCAGGATTGGAGATAGCCAAGTGAGTCACAACTCAAGGGCAGGGAAGCTGTGGGCTCTGTGCAGTGCCTACCCCCGCTTCCTCCCAGAGCACATGGCTCTGGCACACCAGCTGGAGTGCCCACTGCCTCTACCACATTTCCAGAGACTGAACAAAAGGGCCACCCTTGCCAGTGTCCCCAGGGCCCACAGACCACAATCCCTGGCCTGGTCACCTGGGCCAAGTTCTCTTTGTCCTCTGGCCCCAGACTTCTGGATCTCAGGTTCCTGCAGCCCCTCAGGGTCCCTCCCCACAGCCCACCACATGGCAAGCCCTCCGGTGGCTCCCCTCCCTCCAGCCTAAGCCCAGGGGCAGCCCTCTGACCTCTGACCTCAAGTTTGGCTTCTGCCCAAAGGTGAGCCCATAGATCTTGGTGAGATAGTTAGCAGCAAAGTCCACGCTGATCAGGGCGTTTGGCAGGAATCGGGGTGCCAAGGTCAGCTGGAAAGGGAAGAGCCAGGGTAGGAAGACTATGGCCAGCTCTGAGCCCCAGTATCTGGTGCCCAGCTGTGCCACTTCCTGCCACCTAGGCCACCTTCCTAATGCAGAACCTGGCCATGGCCCCTGATGAAGCAAAAGCAGAACTCTTTGCTTCCCAGCAGCCCTTAGCTCAGCATTCAAAGCCTTCTGGACCTACTCTTGCCCAGCCAGCCCTTTGGGGCTCATCCTGGGGTGGAGGGGGTACAGGCATAGCTGCTCAGAGAAGGGCCAAGCAGATAGAGACACAGGAATGTCAGATGAGTGTGTGAGCCTGCACCTGAGGGCTGAGGTCCTGTACCCCTCTCGGGCAGGAGCAAGGGGCGCTAGGGACGCATGCAGCCCAGAGTAGGAGTTGCACTACACACAGAGCCAGGAGGGTGGGGGAGTCAGGTCTGAGGCTGTGACCCTAGAGGAGGGGCACGGGGGCAGGCCAACCTCTGAGTGTTCAGCTCAAAGAGCAGGAAGGCCTGGAGAGTGCCAGCAGCCATGGCCACAGAGCAGATGGATAGTCAAAACCTGAGAGACGAGCGGTCACCATGAGAGTTCAGAGAGAAGGGCAGGGTCAGGCCCAGGCCCAGCAACTCTTAGAAGATGGGTGTCTTTGTGCTCTCCTGCATGTTGCCCCTTTGCCCACAAGGTACCCTCTCCCACTCCCAGGGCCCCCATGGTCCCCAGGGACCCTACTGTCACGACCCTGCTCTTCCCCCCTCCACTCTCCTCCACCCCTGAGGCCTTGGTCTCTGGCTGCCTTCCTGATGCCTCCCACTCCTCCATGTCCTGGGCTCCAGGGGCGGGCTTGTGTGTACTTCTGCACCACCAGCCCCAAAGAGCCCCTCCCTCAAGGAGGAAGTGCACAAAGCCACCTGCGGCGGCCCTCACCTTGTTATTAGCCAGGTACAGATAGTTGAGGTTGGCCAGGTGCTCGAACGCCTCCTCGGGAAGCCCTTCAAAGGACAGGCATCGGTCAGAGCCCTGGATGGAGGAGATGCTACAGGGGAGCATGAGAGCCTACTGCTCGCCTTTCCTCCTCTCCTCCCCAGCTCACTCTGTCTGGGCCCATCCCCGTGACTCTCCCCAGCCAGACCAAGGGGCCTGCTGGCCCAGGCCCACTTTCTTCCTTCTTGTCCACAGGGCCCAAGTTCAGAGGACCAGAAGACCAGCTAGGGACATGGCTGAGCAATCTGGGAGGCCAGATGGATGGAGGATGTGCCTGATCCAGAGCTCTGCCCTTGCAGACTAGCCAGAGGGTCAGAGCTGCCCTTCACACCCAGCCCTAGCCCCAGGAGGCCGAGCTGGGAGTGGCTGGGTGCAGCACAGGGCAACAGCCCCAGGGGGCCTCCCCAGAACCTGACCACCCTGGCCCCATCTGACAGATGTGACATGGCTAGGAGCCCAGGAGGGCTGGTCCTTCTCCAGCTGGGGCTGGCCTATGACCCTGAGTTCCGGGCTTCAGCACCCTCAGATGTTGGAACTGGCCCAGGTAGCTAGTGAGAGGGAATAGTTACATAAACCGCAGGCAGGGTTCCCTGCCCCTGCCTGAGACAGGGGGAGAGTTTCTAGCAGCATGACAAATGGCGCTGAGCAAGTTGCTAAGGGAATGGAGCAGGTTCTAACCAGTTCTACAGACAAGAAGACTGCCCTGGACTGTGGTGATGGCTGTAAAACCTCTGCCTGGACCCCGCTCAGCTGACCATGCTTGACGTGGGCACTCCTAATGGTACAGATAGTTGAGGATGGTCAGGTGCTCAAAATAATAGTTGTGGTTATTCACCCCCAGTTGATAAAATTATGGTGGTTTTTTCCCCCATTTTTCAAAGCTTCTATTCTAATAATATATTGTTTTCATCATGAGAAAAAAGCTTCTTAAAATAAAGAAACTCTGCAACTCTGAGATTCTAAGGATCCTCTATGATTCAAACCCACATGACTGGAGTTAGTGTTGCGGTGGAACCACGTTAAGCCACTGCCTATGATGCTAGCCTCTTATACGGGTGCTGGTTCAAGTCCTGGCCACTCCTCTTCTGATCCAGCTCCCTAATAATGCACCTGGGATAGCAGCAGAAGATACACGGGCCTCTGCAAGCACATAGGAGACCCTGATGAAGCTCCTGGCTCTTGGTTCTGGCCTGGCCTGGCCCAGCCCCCACTGTTGTGGCTGTTTGGGAAATGAACCAGTGGATGGAAGCGCTCTTTCTCTCTCTCTCTGTCCCTTCTCTCTGTAAGTCTATCTTTTAAATAAATAAAATGAATCTTAAAATATAAAGAGTTCATGACCAAATCTTGGGACGCTAAGTCCCTGGCCCTCTGCCAGGTCTCAGGAGCTCATAGGTCTTCCCGCAGCCCTGCTGCCAGCCGGGGCCAGGGTCTCCCGGCAGCACCCGGGCTCTCGGTCCCTGACTGCTGTCCCCTCGGCTCCAAGGATGCCCTCACCTCGGGATGTCAGGCGGTTGTTCTGGAGGTTCAGCGTCTCCAGTCGGTGTAGCCGAGACAGCTCCTGCGGGTAGATCTTCTCCAGCTGGTTGTTCTGATGGGGCCAGAGGGCGGAGGTGGCATCAGCACAGGCCGGGGCATCTGACCCTTATCCCAGTCTTCTGAGTCAGCGTCTCTGCTGGGGACCCCCCTCCCATGCACACAGACCCTGGGGCCAGCCTTGGACATGGGTACTAAGGCATGGCTTCAGAGCTCCTGCTTTCGAGTAGCCCAGACGTGGGCCTCTCTGGTATGGACTGGGCAGCTCCACCTGGTGCACTGGTTCCCCTCCAGATGAATGTGCGCCTGTGTGGGCCCTGCATGGTGTCTGCAGCTGCTACCCCAGCCACAAACCACTCTGCCTTCCTGGCCCCATTCTCTTTAAACCCATTAAAAAGCTTCATCTATTGCCATCTCCTCCAAAAGACCTCCTAGCCACTAGTCCATCCCCCTTCTGTCTCTATTCAAGGTCTCCATTTAGGCCTTGCCAGTCTGTGAGCAGCTTGAAGGGCAAAGGCCTGTGTAAGTCCTCCCCAGCTGCCTAGCATCCCACCCAGGGTCAGAGGCACGGAGCAGCTACAAAAGGATCAGACAACAAACCTTGAACAACCCAGGATCCCTTCCTGTCACTGGCTGTCTTAGCCTTGAGCACCCAAGGCTGCCCTCTCCCCACCCTCCAGGTCCCCCCGCCCCCCTAGTGCTGTGTGACTATGGCAGTGGGGGGCAGCAATTGCTGCTAGCACAGAGCCTGGACTATGGGAATTGGGCCATCTTGGATGCATTAGCACTCCCAGATGTCCCAGGCAGAAAGGCTGTCTACTTCCTGGGGTTCCCAACTGTGGTCTTGCCCCAGTTCTCTGACCCCCCTCCTCCCCTCAAGCACTTTTTCATGGGCTGCTCTGCTCTGCACTGCCTGGCCCTGAAGTGATATCTGCAGTGGTCTGGCTGGTCCAGGCATGTGCAAGCCATCCACAGACAGCCCCATCAGCACTAAGCAAACACAACTCAGTGCTGTAGACCAGCACCATGTGGGAGTCTCAGCACCCTGTATCGGGAGACAGGGAGCCCCAGGTTTCGGAGGTTCCAGGTCTGTCACCCCCTCCCCCCACCAGGACCATTTATGCAACCACGGCCTCACCTGCAGTGACAGGTGGCTGGTGTGCTCCGGCAGGTCTCCTGGGAACTCCCGCAGGTCGATGCCCCCGCAGTCTACCACGCCCTCCTGGGAGCAGGCACACTCCCGTGGACAGTCAGCTCCGGCTGAGCCAGGTCCTGGCTCATCAGGGCTCAGGACAAGTACCGGCTCCTCCTCCACAAATTCGTTCTCTTCAGGGCCTGAGCTGTGGGTGCCACTGTGGCCGAACCCGGGGGCCCTCACAGCAAGCACGGGTCCCAGGTGCAGCTGCGGTGGCAACAGCAGCAGGAGCAACAGCGCCCTGCTCTGTGCCATGATGCCTGCAGGAGGGGATCGAGTCAGATCCACTAGGATGCTCCAGACTGGCCATCAGGGTCAGGGACACATGGCCAGCGCCTGGTGGCACAGGCAGCGCTGGGAGGCTCTGTCCCACCTCCAGCAGCCAGAGACCCGAGGGTACATTCCCTGTCTTGTCATTCTCAGACCTCGGGACAGGCCCTGCCTCTGCCTGCATGGCTTCCCGGGGCCAGTGATTCCAGAGCCTCTGCCAATTCCTCACTGCAGAACTGTGCCTGTGTGGCCACTTCCACATGGATCACCCTTCTGCTGCCAGTGACTGTTACGCCCAGAACCCACTCCAGCAGAACGACTGGGGAGAGCAGCAGTCACTGGGGTGCCTCTGGGGGCTCCCTTACTATGTGTCCCCCTCACCACCCAGGCCTGAGCAGTAGCTGGGCTACATGACAGATGTCCCCAGGCGTCTTTCTCCCATGCTGGGCTGGGAGCAGCTCTGGCCTGAGTGCAGGCCAAGCCCCGAGTCTGGCTCAGAGGATGAGTCAGGCACTTCCCTGGGCCTATTCTGGCTGTCAGCATGCTCAGCGGCCCTCAGCAGGCTCGAGATGATCGCCCAACTGCTGCCCCCTGCATAGCCACACTCCCCAGCATGCCCCCTCCTCACCCCGTGCATCAGGGAGGGTTACCTAAGCTGGTCTGGGGCCCCTGTGAACATAGATGCTGGAGAGCCACTGTCCCAGCAGTCCCATGGGCCTGGCATCTTGGCTCAGGGCTAGGCCCTTAAATTCTCTTTTTGGAGGCTCAGGCAGCATCACATGACGAACTGTGACAGACAGCAGCTCAGACGCACTGAGCTCACGGACTCTTGCTTCGCTCACATGCATAGTGTAGATCACCTGAGTAACGGGAGGAATGCTGAGCACTGCACCTGCCAAGTGGCAAGGCCCCGCAATCCCTGCTGTGGCGGCCACACCCAAGGAGCAGAACCAGGGTAAAGGGTGTGCTGGCTTCCTCTGGCATCCACCCCCACTTGAGGCAGGTGCTCCAGCTGAGTCACAGCCCATAGAGCAGGAAGGAGGATCTGATAAGACGCTGGACCTGGATGGGTAACTGGGAACTTGGCAGTGACCTGCACATCTGGGAAAGAAGCCATTTTCTGCAGCCAGAGGGCCAGGGCTACCATCTTGGTTCTGGTCCTGGCCAGCTGGGTCGCTTTACAATCTTAGCTTCTCTACATCCTTAGGGCTGCTGGAACCATCCCCATGGGGAGACTGTGAGGACTCAGTGGGAGACATGTGCTGTATACAGTAAGAGCCCAAGAAGTATGGGTTCTTCCTGCCCCTCATCTGCTCTGACCACCCCAATACCCACTCCACAGATCCCTGCTGCTCCCCCTCCCCCGTCTAGACTTCACTCAGCCTTCTGGCTCAGACCCAAGGCCACATACTGGTCATGGAGAACCCCGCTGGAGTACTGCAGCTACAGCTCTGCCTCCCTCTCCAAGGTGAGGCTCCCGCTGGGCCCAGCCTTGTGTTGGACATTAGGGACCTAGGCAGGATGGGCAAAGTTCCTGCCTTCTGCCTGGAGGGGGCAGCAGGCTCCAGGGCTGATACTCACAGCCCACCCAGGTTGGGGTGACAGTGGAAAAGGGTGTGTGAAGCCCTGGAGCGGAGGGTGTGAGCAGAGGGTGGGGGTGAGGCACAGCCAAGCTTGTTTCACCTAAAAGGCCCACACAGGCTGAGTAGCCCCTGGCTCCAGCTGCTGGCCCTGGCAGGAGGCCAACAAGCTCTACGCATGCCTTCTTGTACCCCTGCCATCCCCATGCCCTGACCAAATGCCTGACTGCAGATCGCCCACACTGTTGCCAGCTCAAGCACCCCCAGCCCCCAGAGCAGCCAGCACCAGACAGAAGTGAGTCTGTCTGACCCCCACCGCAGTCTGGGGCTTTGGGGAGGTGGGGTGGGGAAGAGAATGTGTGCAGAAGCTCTGAATGCAAGCAGGATGGGAGGCCAGGGAGTAGGTAGGGGGCCAGGGCAGGGAGCTTCCTCTCCAGCCAGGCTGCACACAGGCTCTTCTTCCTCCTTTCCCTTCAGTTTTATATCTGTAAAAAGCTGGAAGCTGTAATACCATCACTTATTCCAGGCCATTTTGAAAACATCATCACCACTACATTGCCGGTCGGGGGGCTGAGAGCCACAGGGAGCACTAGCTGAAGGCTCCAGCTGGGCTCCCTGCCCAGGGTCCACCCCAACACTGACCCTCTCTCCCCTGGACAAGCTGGGTGCTGGGGACCCAGCCAGGAGATGTGGGCATGGCTGCTATCCTCCAGGGACTCTCAGGGCACTGTCTGCTCCAGCAGCCACCTGCTGTATGTGGCTACTGAGCACCAGGAACATGGCTGGTCCAAATGAAGACACATCATGAGTGTAAAACACAGTGGCCACAGATTCCACAGATACAGCATTTAAAAAAAAAAAGGATGTAAAACAGGGACCAGCGGGGTGGAATGGAAAGCTAACTTTCCACCTGCGACATCAGAATCCCATATAGGTACCAGGTTGGTACTCCCTGTTCCTTTTGACTTTCTACAAAGTGCGTTCTAGGAGGTTTTACATCGTGCATGTGGCTTGCATCTCTGCTTTTTATTGTGTTTCCACTGGACAATACTGGTCTACAGCATTCAGTATAAACTGAGTATTATAGTTGCAGGGTCACCGGAAGCCTAATGGGTGAAACTCGGGGTCCAGAAGGGCCCACAGGAGACCCAGCTGCTCATGGGGCCGGGGAAGGCTTCCTCTGACCCATGATGCCTGACGCAGCCTGCGTGAAGGATGAGTGTCAGACAAAATGAAAAGGGCAGGATCAGCAAGAGACGAGCAAGCGCCAAAGCCTGGGAGCAGAAGAGTCCGTGTCGTGATGGCTACCAGGCTCTCTGCAGACCATCTGACACGAGATGAGCACAGTGGCCACAAGGCCAGGCTGGGGCGGAGAGACTGGTGAGGTGAAAGAGCATGAGCCATACCTCTGGAAGACCTGCTGCTGAGCAAGAGGGCAAGACAATAGGTACCGCAAGGAGTGCTGAGACTGAACGAGGCACAGGTGAGGGGCTAGGGGCCCAGTCGTCCAGTCAGGGCAGAGAGGGAGGGACTGGGCTGAGGCACCCATGGGAGCAGCTGGAGTTCAAGGAAGGTCAGGAAGAACAGCCAGGCTTCTGATGGTGGCAGTCTCAATGGCACCCCTACCTTACCCCCAGCTTGCCCAGCCATCTGCAGGACCATGCGACCCTGGGCAGCTCCAGCCCTGCCATCTGCTTTGCTGTGTGACCTTGGCCACACCACTGACCTAGTCATCCTGCATGTTCTCCTAAAATGACCAAGCAAGGCGAGTCCCCAAGCCCTGTGAGTGTGGGAGAAGCAGTAAGGGAAAGCAGACCCCAGGTCTGCAGGAACAGTGAGTGTATCTGCTGAGGAACAGGCAAACCCCTGGGAATAGCACCAATCTAGGCTGTGTCCTCTGCTACTTCAGGGGGACAGCTTTGCAGGCTGCAGGGCCTGGGCTCCAATCCTGGCTATAGTAGGGGTCTGGCAAGCAGAGCTGGGAGCCACTCACAAGGATGAGATGAAGTGATAGGCGCAGCCCAGGGTCAGCACCCAACAGGTGCAACACAGCCACACCACTCCTCCTGAGGAAGCTACGGGACCTGCTGTTCCCCCACCCAAAACCAGCCAAACCCCCAGGCCCAAAGTGGGAGATTAAGGCAGCACTAAAAGAAAAGACAAGGGAGACCCAAATGCAAGTGGCCTGTTAGCATACAGCACCACCTTCCTCCATCACTCAAATTTAGTAGAAATCTATCATCTGCTCAATGCTGGCACCCAAGCACTGCCTCCCACAAATGCTAACAGAAATTCCAGGCCTAAGCTCACTTGGCTGTTTGGAAGACTCGAACCTCAAGCACCAAGGAGTTTCCACTGCTAGCCTCTCTCCCAGAAAGTCCTCTCAAATGCCCCTGCTCTGGGGCATCTCACTATGCCCCCTGGCAGTGTTGGGGTGCTCCTTTGTGCTCCCGCAACCCACTCTCACCCCAGTCTACTCCATTCTTTAAGGCACAGTTGAACCTTTCTTGATTCCCTAGGCATGGAATGGGAGCTCAGAAATCATTTGCTGAGTTGGGGCTAGCATTTGTGGCACAGCGAGTTAATCTACCAACCGCAGCACTGGCATCCCATATGAGTACTGGTTCCTAGTCCCAGCTGCTCCTCCAATCCAGCTCCCTGCTGATGCACCTGAGAAAGCAGAAGATGGTCCAAGTCCTTGGGTGCCTGTACCCACATGGGAGACCTGGAAGAAGCTCCTGGCTCCCAGGATGTAAATATTGCAGCCTTCTGAAGGAATAAACCAGCAGTTGGAAGCTCTATCTCTCCCTCTTTGTAACACTTTCAAATAAACAAATTTTAAAAAATAACAATGCAAAAGGAGACACCTACTGAGTGAATGAGTGAACTGCCACAGGGCACAGGTAAGGAGGTTCTGCTGTATGAGCTGATGGAGTCCCTCTATTTACAGCTTCCATGCGAAGGGAAAGACCAGGACTAAAAGTCTGTGTTGGTGACTCTTGCCCAGAGCTTTGAGCTGGTCGTGGAGGCCGAACGGGCAAATGAGAGGAAAAGCACTGAGACAGAGGAGAGGAAGAAGCAAAGGCAGGCAGCCCGGCGGCAGAAGAGGGTATCAGGGGGGGCCAGGGCTGGGGGCCCAGGCTGCCGAGGGCATCAGCACCGGCCAGCGATGTTGGCACAGGAAATTGTCCCGGCTCTCTTCTGGATAGGCCTGAAGCAGCCTTACCCACTCCGCCACAAGATCTCAGTGCAAGGGACACTTCCAGACTTGCCCTCTAGACTACAGGAGACTGGACCCCGGACAGAAACCCAGAACGTAAGGGAGCAGAACTCCCAAGGGCAGCATCCGGCTCTTCGGAATGACCCGCGGGTCCCGCTCTCCTCCCGGGACCTTCTCAGGACGGGACATATTTTCCTGCACAGCCTCCCAGCGGTGCCTTCAGGAGCTGGGCAAACCACAGTTTCACCTGCGCCAACGGCCCCAGCTCCAA